GACCACGTGGTCCCGACGACTTGGCGATTTTGATTCATGGACCCGCTGTGGAACCCCCGACGGTTGGTTGTGCCGCGGTTACTATGAAAAGACACTGAAGCCAATTTGTGGTCAGAGAGAATGTGTTTAAGTGAAAAATAACTTACAAGGATTACCCATGTAGATTTATATAAATAAACGTTTTTGGTTTTCATTTTCCATTATTATTAAGAAACGCGTCAACACGCTGGTGTAAAATTAATGTATTCGGCTTGTGGAAATCGAGCCTACATTGTACGACAATATTTTCAGTTTTTTTTTAAACTGGTATATAAATCTCACGAGGAACCATGTATTGAATTCTCAAGTTTTTTTACCGAGCGAACATTTTACTATCGACATTAGTTTTAAAAAAAACTAATAGTAATGGAAAATGTCTCATGCCTATTATAAATGGCACAAAATGAGTTAATATATTTTTTTAATGTTATGGTGTATGGAATATACTAATTTAAGCATTTACTGAAAATTGCATGTATCTACAGTCATTTTTTTTTAATGTTACACCAAAACCGTTTTACATTATTTTTTTTTTTTTTTTTTGATATTGGAAACTAAGTGGGAATTTTAAATTATGACCTCCCGAAATCACAAACTAGATTCTAGACGATGAAAATTGATGTATTATTTCAACCAACTATCTTGTGTGCAGACAAAAAAAAAAATACATAATTTGTAAAATCAATACAATGAATGCGATGAATCTAAAAAATAACGAAATTCGACTGTTCTCTAAAACAGTAGTATCGACATTTTTGTACTCGTGACCCACTTTTTTTGACAATTAGGCCTACTTTTTTCACGACCCACGTAGGCTTTGAAGAAAAACAAAAAAAAAGCTAAAATTGCTTAATGCTGTGTAGTAGTACCTAATAATATAATTTAGTATACCTATCACCTATGCACGATAATAATATAATTACTTTTACTACGAATGTCCCCGAATGCATATGAAGTTGCCTATAAAATGTTCCTTAGAATCTAGTAATCGTGAGGCCTCTTAATAACAGCTATTGGAATTTATTATTTTGCTCCTTTTCGTATTTTCGTATACAGCGACAATTAGGAAAAAAGAACGTGTAATTTTTTATTTTAGTTTAACAATAGTTAAGACCTTAAGCTATTTAAATGTTTTGTAGTGATAATAAAGTTGATTATTAGTATTGTTTTGAATTTTGATTGAATCGTTGTGACAGCTGAGTGCTGAATACCGATAGTAGCTAATGTTTTATCATTTAAAATTATGTGAAGGTAGATAATGTATTTTATCTGTGTATAGCTGGATAATATTGTACATTTTTAAGTACCTCTATTTTAAATTGATAAAAACAAAATTACAAATATCATATCATAGATATCTATAGTCGGCACGCTGTAGACGGTTCACGGTATAGCCGTATAGGTATAGTAGGTACATCGTACATAAGCACAGTTCTAATCTTTGAACTCTATATAGTCGGAGCCGAGGGCACTCAACTCATGTATTAATCTAAAATCTAGAGTTTTTAGGAAGATAAATTAATTTTGTGTAAATTCCACATGGTAGACACTAGACAGGAATTATTGCAATGATGCAATTATGGTTAGGTTACATTTTAATATTTTATTTATGTAAGAATAATAATGTCTGTGGTTGTATTGTAAATACTAATAGGTATTTATAATCAATAGCAATGATTATAATTATGTTGTAGAGTAATAAAAATATTAAATCGCCAGAAATATTAAACATATTAATATTGCACTTTGATTAAAATCGTAAATCAATCATTTTTCATCTTCTTGGTTTAGGTCTTTTACAGGAAAGTGTATCTACAACAGGGCCATATTACCGAATAGGCACTATAGGCACAGGCGCACAGCCTAGGGCTCACAATATTTTCAAAATATTATTTTCTCCATTTAAGATTGTTAAAGATATTAGACAGTGCTAGAGTCCTAAACTCATTTAAGCCGGGCCTGCCCACAATGAGAAGCTCTGAAGAAAAATGTTGAAAATTAGCAACCACGATTATTGTTTTTATAACCACAACTCTCAAAAAAATACTCTGTTCAGAATTACCTTATTATCGATTCAGAGGCGCTGAACTAAATGTCTAAATTCAAAATGGGTGGTAAAATAATAAAAGAAAACCAAACATTCACACACACCAACGTTTTCAATTTATCATTTATCATGTAAAGTAATTGAGTTTTCACTATAGTCTTAAGATTATGTCGACTTTTATTTTTTCTTTCTTTGACCCACGCGTAAATTTTAAGTCCTCAATAATGATTATAGTTTATACAATTTTAGTGAAAACACCTCTTTTAAATTTGAAATTAAGATTATTATCTAAGGCCACTCATAGGCTTTTTACTTTATTTTAATTTTAAAGTGAGTCATGAGTATTTTAAAATTGTAAATTGTTCGTACATCTTAAAATACTTATAACTAGCATTAAAATTAAAATATAATACATACACGTGTTCCATAACCCTACAGTACCACACAACCTACAGCTAATGGCTTCAGTAAATAGTTGCCGAAGCTTAAAAAAATTCTTATAATTTATAATTTTTCTCTGATTTCAGGTATTATAGTGATTATAAACTTATAAATTAAAATCATTATTAAGAACGTAAAATTTGCTGTTGCGTGGGCGTCAAAGAGAAAAAAAATTAATTGACGTCTTCTTAATAGGTTAGGTTAGGTTAAGTAACACTATTGTCTACAGACCTACATTTACCCCTATTTAGAAGTCAAGATAAACGATTTTCTTTTTTTCCCTAAGAAAATGAATGTTTTTTTTATCAACAAAAATAATATGTACTTGTACTCATCACTACCTAAATATTTTATTTTTATTTTAGTCCTCAGTTATTTTTCTTCTCAAATGTATTTTAAAAACTTTGGTATATGAATGTATTTGTTTCTTTGTTAGGTTTGAGATCTAAATAAATGAATAATCTAACAATCTAATAACATTTAATAATTTAATGGTTTTACAACTTTTTTTTTCGTCTGATATAACCTCATAGCAGTAAAAATGCTCAACCGTCAAAATCAAGGTTGTTCTCTGGTAGACAATTCGATCCTGTTTGTACCTACTGCAGGAAGCAAAATGCTTTCCAGCAATTATAAAAATGATCTGGAAGTTTATACGAGATTTATAATATAGATATAACATAATTATATCGATGATACGATTTAGGCTGTTCAATATAATATTATTTACTTCATTAATAAATAGTGTACACATTACAATTTTGATTGTACTTTTTTATCATCAAAATCATACTTAGGTACTCAACTGTCTATACCCATCCAATTAAAGGGATGGCGGGTGCTAATGATGAGATTTAAGTGTCTACAATCAGTGGCACCGAGGTCTTCAAAATAAACTATGACATTGTACATCTAAGGATACTCCATTAGCCATTTTTATACTTTAATCAAAGCACCTATAAATAAGTAATGCGTTAGACGTTTAATCATTTATTTTTAAGTTTTAATGTAGATTCTGGATGCAGTACCTTACTGTGCCCCCCATCCATGTAAACAATCTTAAATGACATATATAATAGATAAATTAGGTTATCGATTAGATTAATGCGCCACTATCTACAATTAAAACTAATATGTGAATATACAATTTCTTCAAAAAATAAACTTCAAACAATTGTATAAAAAAAAATTGTAAATCAACTATGAACTTTTGATACTTTTAATTGCTGTAAGAATAACTAGAGAAGAACATAGTAATACGTTGTCAACGTTTTTAAAAATTTTGTTATGAATCATAAACTTTAAATGCTCAATAATATTTTGAAGGTTATTACAAATAATAATATAAATGTTTGATGAAAATGTCATATCTTTAAGTTTGTTCCTTTTTGAATTACAACTCATTAATTATTAAAATGTGACCTTATCAGTACCATCATTTGTTGCGTAAATATGAAATTATACAAATTATTTTATGCTAACACAATTTTCCGTATTGAAGTTTAAAATAGAACATGTATCCAAATTGCATAATAAACAGAGAAAATCGTTGATGAAGTTTTCATTTTTAATAATTTAACTCAATAACTTTATGTAATTATATAAACCAACAATATTATCAGTAAATGTATTATTTAAAATTTATTTAGTCAATTCAATAAATAAAAATGCTACATCACAAAAGATTGGGTTCTCCATTTATGACATAATTTTGATTTTGATACTAGTATTACTTATGACATTATATTGATTAATGATTAGATAAATTATTTTATTTAACTTACTGACATTTATTTCATTATTTGTAATTTGTGAGTCTTAAATTAATTAATATGCTATAAACTATAATTTTTTTGTACAATATTGTCATAAAAATCATAATTTTCTCCAAATTAACATCAATAAAACTCTGGAGACATCTATACTATATTCAAAATCAAATGCTTGTGTGCAGGGACATGTTCAGACTTTCATTTAAAAGCAGTTCCCATCCAGTACTTAAATAATTTTGAATAAAGTATAAATAATGTATAATTAATATTGGTTGCTATATAAGACATAAGTAGATGTAAAAAGAACAATAATAGAAGAGTTAATTAATTTAATGTCAAAACAATATATTTAAAACAATGATATTTCCATGAGTATGCCAAAAAAAGGTGAAATAATATTTTGAGAAAATTAACTATCATAACTATGGCAACCGGTCACTACTGACGATGGGTAGCCTAAAGTATACAATGGCCATTTAAGGTACTTAAAATGTTCTATAGAGACTTAAAAAACTGTAATATAAAAATGTATTACAGTTTAATTTTAATAATAACAATTGGTTATATTATGCACAATGAAAATGTGAATAAAATATGAAATATTTATCAAATAAGAATATAAATGATTATGAACTGAAATGTTTGAATGAGAAAGAATAATTTTAAATATCACATTTTTCTAGAAACAAAAAAAAAATATATATAAAAAAATATAAGCAGAGTAATATTTCAAAACTGTCATGAATATTCTGTAACTATAAATGTTCTACATTTTTATTTGTATTATAATATTACTGTTATTTGAGAAACAATTATAGCAGTTGAAAATAAAGAATACAAAACAAAATATTTATAAATGGCAATCAGTATTAAATAAGGCAACCAATACATATTATTGTGTCTCAGAAATAAACAATAAATTAGAAAAGGCAAAAGTTTGAATTATAAAAGAAAACAGTTATTCGTGATCAAGCTGTACGTAAAATTATGTGTACACCAGAATCAGTATGAATAGGTTCGCTAAGCTCTCCAATTTTTAATGCAAATGATGCATCTTCAAATGGCTTTTGCATTGTGCCTCTAGTAAATGGTCCCAAATCACCACCACGTTTGGCTGAACTACAATCAGAATATTTCTGGGCAAGTTCAGCAAATGATGCTTTGCCGGAAACAATTTGTTCGCGATAAGCTGTAAATATACAATTTAAATTTTATTGAAAATCTAAGTAAACTAAATAGGAATATATTTACATTTAATGATGTCAATTGCTTCAGATTTTGATCTAGTAATACGTTCTTCCCGCCACGATGACGGTCGCCGTGATTTTTCATGTTTAACCAATAAATGACTACATTGTACTTGTTCGGGACCAGAATTAGTTGAGCCTGTATTTTCTGATGCTGGTTTTGTTGGTACAGACCATTGGCTTTCTTTAGTTAATAAGTTTAAATAATAAGTTTGACCTGAAAAGTTATAATAAAATTAATCCAATTCTATATATACTTGGATCATTTATTACTGTTTTAATTACATACATTTATTAATGGGGACATATTGTTTTAAAACTACTTGTTAACTTAAAATTAAAATTATTCGAGATAAATATCAATAAGTATGTTTAACATGCAGAATAGGGAATTCGACATCTCACTGAAACATATCAACATAAAACACTCAAGAGTTAGCGTTTTCAGTCATGTGTTACCGCACCAGTCGGCTGTAATTATATGCGGTTTTCTTAAAAAATATACTTTGCGTGTTTCAAGAACATACTTGTTATTGAGTGGTTTTATCGTAAAAACACCAATGAACAAATTTATAGACCAAATTCAAATCTGGATCCGTAAGGAAGCCCAATTTTTGATATCTGTAAAACTTTGTAAAATATTCCATGTTAAAGAATTCTCATATTTTATTTTTTTCAACAGATAATTTAAAGACTTAAAACTTCAAAAATCAAGCTTCATTTTCTAGAAGGATTTTAATCTCCTCTACAATTTTGTTCATAGGTGTTATTACAATAAAACCACTCAGTAACCCATATTTTTGGAACGTGCAAACATGTTTTTAAAGGACATTTTTTGCATACATATTTTGATGAGATGTCCTTTAGAGGAAAACAATCTTGAAAAAAATACAGTAGTCATTGTTAATTTTAAACCTATTTAATTTTTAAAACTATAATCCAAAATATTACTATTAAGATTTTTCTTTAATTTATTTTATTTTGTTGCCTAGGAAGAATTAAAAAGAAAAAAGACCTGTCCTAAGATTATGTTGGTTATACCTATTATTTAAAGAGAGCGTGATACTCGTACATCGACGTAAGGCGCACATCTATGTTAAGTACACATCAAAATAAATCAGATAATTTTTAATTGTATTTTTGTTAAGTAAATATCTATAGACATAAAATTTGATATTTTATTTTCAATAAACCTGAATAGGTACTTCTTATACTTTTAATATAAGGACCTAATTAAGTTCTTTTAATGCATATTATGTTAGTTTTAATTGGTTACCAAATCTTAATTACTACTAATATAATGTGATATATATAAGACATGTGTTATCAATCATAAAATATTAATCACATATTAATCATAGTATCTATCATATTCAGAGCAATTTGAATTTTTACAAATACCTAATTAAGTGTTAAAAAAATGTGAAAACGATGGCTGATAATAAAAAGTAGGATAAACCGAGATAAAACACAAATACACCGAAAAAAACTGCAATGCTATTTAAAACAAAATTTAAAATCAGAAACTCATAGGTCTCAGCCAAATACCGAAATGGCCATATTATTTGGTACTGCCAAAATCTTACGCAACAAGAACCTAAATAGAATAATGGTAAGTTTGAAAATATTAAATTCCATCATGTCCAGACACAGAAAATAATTCCCTAATTTTATGTGAACATACCGGTAGACCGGCTCACTCGCTTCTCCCATCCGGTCGGAAGTTGTTCTTCTTCGCTCATTGTCCTGTTCGAAAACTCCGGTTTTCCGTTACGTTCTTGTGACGCCAACGAATAACTGAATATAGTCAAAACACCGTATTTATGTTAGTTAACGTAGAAATAAATGGAGGAAATTACAAATGTTGTTCACTCTTTTAATTTTAATACCACATAAATGTGCATATATTTTATATTGCAGGTTTACGATTAATGGTTTACACGGGGTGAAAAGCTAAGTTGCTAACAAACGTATAAACAACGGAGCCAGACCGAACGAAATTTTAATCACAAATCACAATACCGAAGGCGGCCGAAAACTAACCCCACGGCCCACAGTCTGGTTCAACGGCAGTACCAGTGACCAGTTTTATAGTGGTAACGACGGCAAGCCATAAACAAAACTCTCAGCTGATCGAGTTTTTATTCTCTTTGGCAACTATACCGAGAAAATTGGAGAAACGTATTTAATATTTATTATAGTCAGTTGAATATCAGTCAAATGTTGAATGTTCTGATGTCCAACGTTTTGAAATCTTATAGCTATTAAGATTTAAATTGGAATAAATTAGTTTTTAATTTTTTAAGAATATATTCTACGTGTTCGTTTTGTCGATTTAACTCATTGCATAGGGTTGATAGGACGTAACTATGACCAAATTTGAATCAATACACTGTAAAACGTTTTGGGTTGATGCAAAACGTTTCAAGTCGGTCCGAAAATGATGCGAAATTAGAAAGTTTAATAATTATTATTTTGATAAAAACTATAATATCATTTCTGTACATCGATAAGCAATTCAATAAATATAATTTTTTTACTGCATTTTTACAACTTTTTTTTTATCTACGCTATCGTAATTAGTAATTATTTATTAGTATTAAGTATAACAATTAAGCTTATCCGAGTTTCTCAAATTTTGATGTAAATTGCAATATTGTTAAATTCACAGATGTGTTCGATTGTGACGTGTCCAGGAATATTCTAATTACAGTTGGGTCAACAAATTACAATTGGTAAGTACCTGGGAACATCGTATATTATATTTAATTCCGTTGTAAATTATTTGAAATTATTGACCCAAATTTTAATTCAATTAGTTTAGAAGTAATTCTATATTTACATATACCTACCATCAAATTCAGATTATTGATCAAATTTACATTTATTTTAGTTTGTTGTTTAAATTTGAATAGGGATTGTCTATAAAATTAATTTGTATTTATGTTAAATTGTACATTTAATTTAGTTTTATTTTCCCTTTTAGACACATATAATTGTATACTTGTTTTTTCAAAATATATCTAATCATTATCATTTCAGGTAGGTACCTACCCATATTTTACTGAATTAGTTATTATGTAATTGATGACAACTAGCCTTATCTTCATTATCATGAATCAACAATTATAAAATAGTACATTCAATGTCATGTAAAAAATATTTTATTGGTATTCAATGCTTGTAGCCACATCTGTATGAACAATATAGACAAAATAAGTGTAGCTCTGTCAAACGTATTAAGTATATTATACTGATCATACTAAAAAACTTTGATGCAATATTATGAGATAACAATTAGTTATGAAATATAATTTATTTTATGATATATGGATAATGCAAACTGATTTGATTGAAACAACGAACAACAGTTAAAATTTCCAGAGTATGATACGTAAGGTGCAGTTGGTATAATGTGGTTCGTGAAAGTATAATACTGATACTGCAAAAAAATTGTCTATCAGAATATCAGGTAGTTAAATGATACACTCTAAAATACTTATATATTATTGCCTGGCCACTAGGCGACCGTCTTTATTCTAAAAATTCAATATTTATGGTCGATAAATCACAGTATCTCTATATATTACATATGTATAGGTAAGTTTAGAATGTGATCTAGTAATACATCAATTCTAATATTTGAAATTATATTTGATTTTATTATAATCATTAATCATGTTAGCATATTGCTAACTTGTTGCTATATTCTGTTTATGGTTTCGAGTATGTACCTTACATAATTATATGTTATGAATTTGTTTTAAAATATGTTAGAATTAATTTTAATGTGTTCACCAAAATATTTAATGCTGGCATTTCATTTTTAGTTTTTACAAAAAAAACCTATCGATTGTATAACTATATTATAAAATATGTCATAATGGTTAAGGCTTAAGAAATAATGATTAAGTAATCCTTAGCAAATTGTCTTAATTTTTAGTAGTGTTCATTAACTTGTCATTATAAAAAAAATAATTATCAAATATGTTACTATTAATTTGTAAATAGTATATTATGAAGTTACAATTTACTACTTTTCAAAACAGTTTTATTACAAGTACCTAAAATCTTTATAAAATGTGTAGTACAACAACGGTTGTCTGGAGACAATCAATAACAAAACCACTAAGTAACTATAGAAAAAATCATAAATTACCCTTATACTAAAAAGTAAACTAAGCTATGAATAAAAATGTTAACACTATTATAAATTGAACGCATCATTAACATGCATAATAAGACTGTATTCAACTTTTCACTATCCTCCACTATATATTATAAATTATTATACTTTCAAAACGCTTTTGTCTCCTGATCAAGAATCAAAAAATATTTTTTATGCCTTAATTATTGAATATTAAAAAAATTTATTTGATTAAGAGTTATCTGTAACAATATAAAAATAAATTAGATTTTAAACAGCGTTAATTGTAGTACCTTTTAATGGTAAACATTGCGTTTTATATTATATGTTGTTGACCAATAAAACGTAACTAAGTAGAAAGAATGGACTATTAATGCCAAATATGTTACTTAACAAATATTTGATAGCTGTTATTTACTTATGAATAGATTAAAAACATAAAATAAAAATTAATTTAGGAAGATTTTTTTTACAATATACATTAATTGGGAAATAACAATACACTCATTAAAAATTAACAATAAATACATTACCTATAAAAAAATGTTTGATGCATTTATACCTACACATTTCATCAAGATCACAAAGACTTGGAAAATTAATAACCTAAGCCAACACTGGTTACAAATTAATAACTGAAACAGTTATTTTATTAATATAGTATCATAATCGAATTATTCCCTGATTCATACCTAGCTGTGAGATTGAACTTAGATGATGTTATACATATATATTTCAGTACTTCATAATAATGGTAATTTAATGCAATAATACTTAACATAAATACAATTCTTTAATACATCATACTTACTAAGTATTTACCAATTATCTACCTAAAATCTCTTAGAATACAGTTAGTTGTAAGCAGTATCCATTCAAAGATGATGTATATAAGATTTTAGTGTCTTTTAAAAAAAAACATATCTTGGTACAACTAATACATTCATTACTCAGAATTTTTAAGTACTGTTTAAATCATTAGAAGAAACGGACTGCCTAAAAATATTGAACGCACACCACACTATGGGCTTCATATTGTCTGGCACCAGTTTCTACATGAATATAAATTTAGTATATCTTTTAGAATAGTTAAAATTTTGAATACATTTAAATCTCTATCGGAGCCAACAAATTACAATTATAGGTATATATATTATATACATAATATATATTTATGTTATATTTATCTTTTAATTGGGCACTCATAAAATTCATGCCCTAGCCGCTTTTCCCTTTTCGTATAGTTAATGTATTACCTCACGTTTAGCATGGCTCTACATACACCCACATTTTGTGCAGATGAAATGTAAAAAAAATGTTCTATACATTTTTAATCCATAGGAGTATGAAATGTCTAAATATTGAAAGATATCCTAAAATATGTTCTCAAACTAAGTGCATTTAATGAATTAATAAAAGTTCCTGTTTAAACCTATAATTTTTTTTCTCCTAATTATATCATTGTTTGATTAAAATCATTAAGTTTTATTTTTTTAAGTGTTTTATGATATACTTATAATTATTGCATATGTTATTTCCATTTCATACATTTAAACCTTTTATTGTTTCAAATGTTAAGCATTAGTTATTCGGTAGGGTATTATAGTCTCGATCTAAAAAAACTATCAAGATATGTGTACATTTGTTTGTGTGGTCCAAACAATGTATATATACTTTTCAAAGTGTATATCGTTAATTTAACAAAAGCGAAAGTGAAAGGGAGAGAAGTAGTTTTTAATATTAGCACACGATTTCCTTCCAATTCTCCGAGACACCTATAATAACAGTCAACAGCTGAGTGCCTGAGTATATCAAAATATTTTAATTCACTTGTCATTCGTCACACAGTGATCTCCAGTATAATATCAATATAGATTGTATAGACACTCAACGCCTTACATAACCAAAAAACTTTTTTTTTCTTTTGCCAAAATATATCTACACTTTTTAAACAACGTATTTCCGGATTAAATTCAAGTAATAATAATAAAATAATTTCTAGATATGACACTTTTAATATTCGAGTTTTTATTACTAAATCAAATAATTAATAATTAAAATTAGATTCAATTTTTGTACTCTTGATAACATTTCATACGATTTAGTCTGTTTTAGTAGATATTTTAAAATATTAGCACGCGCCTACGTAGGTGTAATAAATAGGACATTAACTGAACATATCGTGTACCTACATAATATGCGCTTCTGGAGGTTCAACTGAACTGACACACCATCGCAACTACGGCAGTGTAGTTAGTAGTCTCGCACTTGCCACTTCGCAGTCATCGCCGGTCATTGAACGGACCATGTCCTCGTGCGTTTAGTGTAGTTCTTTTTTTCTATTATTGTGTATTTTTTTTGTTTTTGCTACCACAGTGTTGTATTTTGAATACTTGTTTGAAACTTCGATAGATATATTTAAACCTCAAACGAAATGCTCATACATGACTATTTTTCGCGACGGATGATTTAATTTCTTAACTATTATGGTAAATTTAAACGATTTTCAGTATACAAAGTAAATTATAAATATTATTAAGTACTGTAAACATTTATTTATCCAACGTCTTATAACCAAAAATATTACATATTGGTACTTTATCTGAACTCAATCAATCTAACGTAATATGAGTTATAATATTTTACAATTAAATTCATTCTGCTAAAAAATGATTTTTTTCATTTTTCATACAAGTTCTTACATAGTTACATGCTATACATATTTGTAGAGCGTTTATAGATTTATCTCTACGTAAAAATACTGGCCAGTAATAATTTATAAGTTTAACATTTTTTTTTTTAACACTTCTGTGTAAAATAACGTGTACCTCTGTAATTTTATAGTAAATAGTTATAATAAAATATTTTTCTATTTTTTTTGTTTAATAATATTCTATAAGAACC